GCCTACTTGGTGTTATTCACTGACCATGATGCTAGACCTCCTTGTAGCAGTTACCAAAAAAGCAATTTCAACCCTCTTTGCAGTCTTATAAGGTTCCCTGTGCTAATCTTTTAGACATGGATTACAATGACCTGTAATTTATCTGTATTAAGAGTCAAAATAATATCCAAACTAAATGTCCAGTCAAAGCTCGCCCAGTGTTTGTCTATTTGCCCCCACTCACCAGGGCTGAGTTTACTTCTTCCTTTGGGTTACCAGAATCTCCAACAGTTGCCTCTGGGAAATGGGCTCACCTATAACAGAGAGAAGCTGTCAGGGATCTTACTCAGAATTGGGCAGTATAGAAATAAACTTTGTCCTATTAACAGATAGGTTATTAAGTATACTGTTTTAAGTAATGCTTAAGTTTTGCAAAGAAAAATTAAGTACTACTGTCAACCTCTTGGTTCAGAACCACATTATCTCTTGCCCGTCCTATTGTAACATTCCTTCAAATCCATCAGCATCATTAAGGACAGATTGTTGTAGTGGTCCCTCCCCTGGTCTTACTTGCCTCTTGCACCTTCCGTGAAACACCCCTTGCTCGTAGCTTTGTTTGAACATGCCTACACCATGGGTGAGTAGCGCCACCATAGCAAAGGCCTCTTCGTGTGTTCTACAGAGTCCTTCCTATTGTCTTCAGATAACAAAAGCCTAGTACTAAACTGTTCTGATTCTGAGCCTCCGAGTGCTGCAAGATTCCTCCTGCCAATACACATATTTTGTGTAACTCAATATAATAATAAGTCAGGATGAGTGAGACAGGCGACTTTCAACTAGGTCTCTAACAGCTCTTCCTGTCAGCCCAAAAACAATCAATATATACAGGAGTCGTCCATCTACTCAGTCTAAAAATATACCCTAGGACAACCTTTTTTTTTCTTTTTTGTCTCCCCGCAAAAGCAGGAGCTGAACCAATCCAAGGTCAGGAGCCGAGAGCTTCTTCTGGGTCTCCCAAGCAAGTGTTGGGTCTCAAGGCTTTGGGCCACCCTCCACTGCTTTGCTAGGACAAAGAGGGGTGGGAGAGCAAAGATTCTCCTGTCTTGAACGAGAGACGATCTGGATTTTCTCCTGATTCCCGTTTCTTGATAATGCACTGTCGGAGCAGCTGACGGCTCACATAACTGGGTGACTCACAAGGAGACTCACACGGAATGCCCAGCTCCTAGCTTTGGCCTGGCCCAGCCCTTTGCAGAAATGCACTAGTAGATGGGAATACTCTCTGTCAGTCCCTCTTTCTCTTTGCCTCTCAATTAAAATACAAAAACAAAAATAAGTCCCTGATTCTGGCGTTGCTGCATGCAGAGCTCTGAGGGAGGCGCTGTGGAGGAACACAGGGATGGATTCAGAATATTCTTATTCTCAGCTTCCTTGAAGTTCGTGGTAGGACTATATCTACTTCCCGCAAAGGACAACTAAGACCACGAGACAGTATCTAACAAGGTCCTGTTAGAACTCTCGAGATCCTACAAACTCCACACTCTCTGGGTTTGATCTGTACACGATAGCATCTCTTACTAAGTAAGCAAAAGAACAATGGGTTCAGAGAAAACTGATGGGCCTGATGCAATAGCCTAGTAGTTAAAGCCTTGCCTTGCATGCACCAGGATCCCATGTGGGCACCAGCTTGTGCCAGCTGCTCAACTTTCCATCCACCTCCCAAAGACTTGGGACCCTGATCTCATGTGGGAGACCTGGAAGAAGCTCCTGGACTGGATCAGCTCAGCTCCAGCCGTTGTGGCCACTTAGGGAGTAAACCAGCGGATGGAAGATCTTTCTCTGTTTCTCCTTCTGTATATATATCTGCCTTTCCAATAAAAATAAATAAATTCTTTTTTAAAAAAAGTCAGAAAACCTAAAGACTAGTTCCAACTCTGACACTGATTCACTATATAACCCTGAATAAATCACTTCACCTTCCAGGATCTTTGTTTCTGAATCAAGCAAGACTGAGAAAAAAATGCTTAAATCCATGATTAGCTTAACAGGAAGCAGTAAAGAAGGCGAGAGGGAATGACCTCTAAAAAATGGCAGGGGCTGCCTTTCCAGTGGTGCCTTCTCTCTACAGAAAAGGACTCCTACAAAGGATTTCCTCCAGCAAAGAGAGACAGAGACGGAAGGTGGGGAAGAGAAGGAGAGGGAGTGAGAGCAAGGAGGGAGAGAGGGAAGAAAGGAGGGAGGAAGGAAACAAACGGTGGGCTGGGGAGAGCTGTGTGGCAGCGAGCCGAGCTGCTTGGGACTCCGGCTTCCCCCATGGAGTGCCTGGGATCAGGCTCAGTTCACTTCAGGTCCAGCTGGATCTGTCAGGCAGCACATGGTAGCCCAAAGTGCTTGGATTCCTGCCATGGTCCGATACTCCTAGCTACGGCCTGGTCCAGCCCGGAACCAGATATCGTGAACATTTGTAAAACTCCAGTGAATCCGCTGATGGGAGCTCTTCCTCCCTCCCGTTGTCATGTCGCCTTTCAAATAAATACATTTTTGTAAGTAGGCTGTACAACCTTTTCAGTGAAAGGAATCTGTCCTAAGTGAAAGAACAGGGAAGAGCTGTGGTAGACACATCATCACTGTGTGCCTCCATCAGGACTGTCGGGCACCAACTGAGGCTAGAAAGAGCTCCAAAATTACACGGGCACAAATCCCAACAGTGCCAAGCAGAGAGGAACTAGGAACTATTGTAAGTCACACACTGATCAGTGAAAATAGCAGAAAGGCAGAATTGACCAACTTAGCTCTGGCTCTAGAATCAGAAACACCAGTGTTTGAATCCCAGCTCTCACCACCAGCTCTCATTAGCTTCAGCAAGGTCCTTATCCTCTGTCTTGACTTCCTACATTTCCTTAAAAACTCCCTTCTGGGGCCCGGAGTGGTAGCCTAATGGCCTGAAGTCCTTGCCTTGAACATGCTGGGATCCCATATGGGCACCGGTTCTAATCCTGGCAGCCTTGCTTCCCATCCAGCTCCCTGCTCGTAGCCTGGGAAAGCAGCTGACGGCAGCCCAAAGCCTTGGGACCCTGCACCTGCAAGGGAGATCCAGAAGAGGCTCTGGGCTTCTGGCTTCAGATCGGTGCAGCTCTGGCCATTGTGACCACTTGGGGAGTGAATCAACAAATGAAAGATCTTCCTCTCTGTCTCTCCTTCTCTCTGTATATCTGACTTTCCAATAAATGTAAAATAAACCTTAAAAAGAGAAGAAAAAAAAAAAAAGAATTGGGACTACACTCTCCTGTTTTATACTTGGTTTTGTATGCCAGGAGCAAAGATGGGCAGAGCTGAGATCCAAGTCCACTGTATCAAGCACTGCCAGGATGCTATCACCCTGCTGTTAAATCAACAGCATAAACACCAAGAGGGGGGCTTCCATCAAAATGGCTGTCACACCCTGAAGGTTGAGAGGTTACTAAGCTAACAGACAAGAAGTCAGAAGAGGTGCCTGCACTGAATTGAAACACTTGATCAAAACACCTTACAGGAAATATAATTATGTGGACAATTTTTAATTATTATTATTTGATATAGTCAGAATTGCTCTATCCAATGGTGCACTCTTCAAATGCCCCAAAGCCAGAAGTGGGCCAGGCTGAAGTACTTCTACATGCGTGGCAGGAAGTACTGGAGCCACCACCTCCCAGGATGCAGGCTGTCAGCGAGCGGACATTGGAGCCCAGGCACTGTGGCACACCCCCTTTGCGAGACACAGTATGTACTGTGTCCTGTGTGCACATATTCTTTATTTCGAGAAGCACTTTTACTACAGCCCAGATGATCCAAGTTAGTCTAGAGATGTGATTCTCCCCTTGGGTTAAAAAATTTGGGGGCATTCCATCTGAAAAATAACAGATCAACGTTGTAGAAGAATATGGAAATCAGGAACCTATGACAAGAGAAACAAAGATTTCAGACAAAAGAAATCATTTCCTACATGCGTAAAACACATAAAAAGAAAAAGCGTCTCCCTATAGTCACTGCTCTTTAGCCTCAACAGTCTCCAGAGCCCGCAAGAAGGCTGCTTGAAAGGAGACACCTTGTGGGTGATAAATCTGGGTTCTGTAAGGTCTCTGGGGTGGCAACCAAAACAGGAGCCACAGGAGATAAAACAGCATAACAGCTCGGGGCTCTCCCAGGCAGGACTGACTCACCAGCGGGCTTCACTAGAACTCACTTCTGCTACAGTCAGCACTCAGCTCTCTAATGCCACATGCAGTAACACACAGCACACGCCTGCCAACAGATTTACTAGCTCAATCCGGCTGTCCCTGACCTCTCGGCCATGATCTTACAGTGAGGCCCTCCTTTTCCTGGCCCGCACCAAACACCTTGGTCTTGTAATCCCATCAGATTTTTCCCACTCACAAGGATAAGTGATCTTGTCTCTTATGACTACAGTAATAAACCAAGTGGATATTTTGCTGTAGGGGTTAAAAAGATGACCCCATAGCAATAAAAAGGCAATCAAGTCACAAAACGGCTTAGTAAAACTTTCTCCTGTTCCTTAAAAAAGACCAGCACATCTCAGAAGGTAGCCTTGGAGAGCAGCTGTTTACAAACAGGACAGAACAGGACAGGACGGGAGCCTAATCCATGTCCATGTATATGATAACACAATGTATGTCACGCCTGGAGGAGGGTCCACAGAATACCACACACACACAAGACAACAATTCTTGCATCTGCATTTTTTGGGCAGCTAACGGTATTCCTCCTTTCTCAGCTGAAGCCATCTCCAATCTTCCCCTCCTCTTTCCTTAGAACCCAGCAGGAATTATCAAGGGAGGCACAAGTAATTACTGTTTTCTTTTCTCCATGCTAATGAGACAGTTGCATGGTTCCCCTCCCCCATCCAAACTGCAAGTGAGAATCTAAGGCTTTAGAAAGGGTAAACAAAACGCTTAAGCCAAGCAGAGACTCTATGGAAGATGACTTTCCGACTCTAGTGAGACCAGAACTAGAAAGAGCCTTACCGTTTTACAGAAATGGAGCTCCAGAGCAGGCAGTAGAATCTACAAAATGAAGACACACATCAGTGGCAGGGCCAGAATCAGTTTCCTTACTCCCAGCTCAGCATTTCCAACATCATCCAGAGCTCCCACAGTACAGAATTGGAGGTATCCTCAATGCAGAGGCAGAAATTGCAACTTGTAAGTTCACAAACCAGTTCTTTGAACTCCCTCCCTCCCTCCCTCCTTTCTTTCTTTCTTTCTTTTAAAAGAACATGGTGGGGCTCCACTTCCCTTCCAGCTCCCTGCTTGTGGCCTGGGAAAGCAGCTGACAATGGCCCAAAGCTTTGGGACCCTGCACCCCTGTGGGAGACCTGGAAGAAGTTCCTGGATCCTGGCTTCGGATCAGCGCAGCTCCAGCCATTGTGACCACTTGGGGAGTGAATCATCGGACGGAAGATCTTCCTCTCCGTCTCTCCTCCTCTCTGTATATCTGACTTTGTAGTAAAAATAAATAAATCTTTAAAAACAAAACAGATACTGTCTATGTGGGTGCTGGTCTGAGCCCCCGCTGCTCCATTTGCAACTCAGCTCCCTGTTAATGCACCTGGTAAAGCAGCAGAGGATGACCCCCATCTTTGCGCGCCTCTGCCAGGTGGGAGACCAGGAAAAAGCTCCTGGCTCCCGGCTTTAAATATACATTTAAAAAATACTTATTTATTTCTATTGGAAAGGCAGATTTACAAAGGAGAAAGATCTTCCATGTGCTGGTTCCCTCCCCAAATGATTGCAAAGGCCAGAACTGAGCTGATCTGATCCAGAGCCAGAAGCTTCTTCCAGGTCTCCCATGCAAGTGTAGGTCCCAAAGCTTTGGGCCATCCTCTACTACCTTCCTAGGCCACAAGATGGAAATGGAGCAGTTGGGACATGAACTGACACTCATGTAGGATACTGGCACTTCTAAGAGGAGAATTAGCCAATTGAGCCATAGTGCCGGGCCCCTAGTTTTAAATTTTCATTTAGAGAGAAACAAAAAGAAAAACAGCTTTCTGTGGATGTAGACTCAGCTCAAGAACACAGTTCTTGGGCAAAAGAACCTGAAACACAATGCCAACTTTACCTCAATATCAACATCACATGTGATTTTAATTTGATTGGGTGAAAAGAACAACCCGTGGATTTTAGTTGAGATTCATCTAAAACACTAGATACAATGGTGAACTGTGGAGTCAACCTAAGACTGGCTCCTGTTAGTCTTCAAAGTCTAAGGTTTTGTCTAGCCTATTCTACATTTCGGGAAGGATCGAGAAATTCAAATGCAGCTCTCAAAACTAATTCTCACGCTAGGCAGGAATGATTTAAAACAGTCATAGCCCTAATCCCATCCTTTATTCATAAGGCCCAGCAACTCCCGTTCCTGTACCACACCGTGGGGCTTTCACGGCACCCTAGGATCTGGTCAGTACAGAGTAGGCCTCACCTTCTACAGAGCACAAATCCCAAAGCTCTCCTGTACAAATGGGGCCCAGGCCTATGTAACAGCATCTGGCTTTGTCATCTGCTTAAGACATCAAGGCCCTTCTAGAACGCTATCTGGGTTTAAGGAATATTTTGCAAACTCTATTAAACTAGATTGTCACCTCCTCTCCCCGCCCTGCCCTTCCCATCCTCCACCACCCCCAGCAATACCACACCTCCTTCAGCTTCCACAGTCATACTCTGGTATAAACACATCCACTGCCAATTCCTAGAACCCTATCAATAAAAATACCAAGTGAGATACCTACTCTGTTCCCAGTTAAAAAGCACTTTCACAGTCCCTATCTGGTCTAGCAATTAAGATGCTGGTTAGACATCCACATCCTCTACTGGGGTACCTGAATTTAACTCCTAGCTACGGCTCCTGATTCCAGCTTTCTGCTCCTGTAGATCCTGGGAGGCAGCAGGTTGGTGCCCCAAGCACTTGGATGGAACTCGGCCTCCAGACTTCAGTCCAGCCCAGCCCCAGCTGTCTCACGCACGTGGGGAGTGAGCCAGCAGTCCTCTCTCATTCACCTCACTGTTTTTCAAATAAAATAAATTAAGCAAAACAAAAACAAAACCATTGCTCACTCATCCTCCTCATCAAGCTGATCCAACTCTTCCACTAGAGGGCCCTCACACATACAAAGCGCAGGGAAAGAGCTGTGTCCCAGAATCACATGGCTTTGTCTTCTGTTTTACTCATCCTATTCACCTCAACTGGGAAGTTAACTGGCCCAAGGGCACACAGATAATAAAAGCAAATCAAGACTTGCCTACAAATCAAATAACTTTCAATGACCATGATGGTTTCCAATAAATTTGACCTTTACAAAGTTCTGAGAGATGGGTAAGACAGCTGTTCTTCACTAAATCACGTTGTCACTTCTGAAGTCTCACTTGACACCTCCAATCCATCTTAGAACCTTCTCGTTCAGAGGTCAGCTAACTTTTGTACAGGGTCAGTGAGTCGGTATTTTAGGTTTTGTGGGCCATGGTTATCTCTGCACTATTCAACTCTGCCACTCCAGTAGAGAAGCAATCACCAATAATAAAGTACGGCTGTGTTCCAGTCAAACTCCAGAGGGACAGTGGTTGGATTCAGAGCACAGGCCAGTCTGCTCATATCTATTCCAACAATCTACATGTCTAGTGACTGAGCGGACTTCTGGGGTGAGTAGGTGAAAATACTGGACCTTTGAGTCCAGCAGAAACCATGAGATAACGCCCACCATCAGATGCTTTCGTATGCTTCAAGGGCCTGCTCTCACCCAGCTACTCCAGCCGATCATGTATTTGGCTTTTTTTTTTTTTCCTTGCCATTCCTCCTTGCTTCTGACCTCCAATCATATCCTTAACATCAGGTCTAAACTGGCCTCACATCCAGATTTAGCCCTTGACCAGCAATGTTTTAATAACCACAAATGCTTGGTTCCCCAAAGCAGGGTTGTCAGTGACAGAAAACATCAGAGCCTGAACCCAACTGATGAGAAACTCAAAGGTATGTATTAAGAGTCATCAGGAATACCATGTTGAAATACAAAGGAACCTCTACAGAGATTGGAATCTTGGAAAAGCCTGCAGCCCCAAAGTACTGCTTACTTTCACTTGGAAAATCTGGAGGGCCAGAGACTATAAATGCCTATGAAGAAAACAAAACGAACACACAAAAGAATCTTTCCCCAAACCCAGAACGGAACTACATTCCATCTGGGTGAGCTTGTCACAGGCACAAGGTACTTTGCATATCTGCCATTCCAGAATTATGGCTGTCAAGTTTTAATTAGGGTAATTAGAGTTAAAAATGTAATTTCATTTCAGGGGTATTCTGAACAGATCCCATTAATTTCTTTAAAAAAAAAAAAAAAACAGGAAGGAGGGGCAGACTGCATGTAGCAAACAGGATTTTGCCACCAGGAAAGCCGAGCCACTTGACCCGCACCCAGAGGACAAAGGCTAAAAGCCCTTCAGCTTTCCTCCCTTCTCCCCTGGGGCTCCGGAAGTAAGTTTCAGTCAGCACCTGCTGCTCCCCAGGACCACCATCCAAAAGCTGCTGCTTCAGCCCTTAAGCCAGCAAAGGGCTAGTGCTGCAGAGTCCATCCAAGTTGCTACATGGTACAGACTGCCAACACGGCTACTTTTTTTCAAGAGTTCCTGAAAGTAGCTTTATGTTTCTGTTTGTGCTAGGTCCCCGGCTCTGAGCAGCTAGCTTCCTTGCCTCTTTTTCTTCAAACCACAAAGTTACACCCCCAGGGAAGCCCAACTTTCATGTCTCTGTAATCCAGAGTCCTCTTATTACAGCACACATGTTATACTATTGTTCACATCCTTATCTATAACCTGGAAGTCAGCCAGGAATCCTTTCTTTGTACTAGCAAGAGTTGACACAGGGCAGAGACACTCACCAAACATTTGCTGAATGGCTGCTAAACATTTTAGGCCCTCAGGTACTCCGAGCACTACCCAATCATGAATCCCTTCCCCCTCTGCGCATAAAGCCAGTTCTGAAACCTGAGTCTGCACTCCATGCAGAAGAAAAGCCCTCCCACTGATCCCAAATGATGATTGATCTCTCCCATTAGAGCCTGTTCATTCCTTAAGGACTGTGGAAAAATGAGAAAGCAAAAGCAAATAGAGCATCTCTTCCCAGCTCCTAACCCCCATTCACCTCACTACCAGTCTTAAAGAAAATCTCCAGTTTCTGAAAGGCTCCAGGGAAAGGGCCTGAACCCCAGTTAAGTATGTTAAGAGGCAAAAAGGAAGACTGGTAGAACACAATTTGGCAGCTTGGAACTGGTGTTGTAAATGTTGTAGAGTGTAGTACAATAGAGAACACACAAAGTTACTTCCCTGGGACTTTTCTCAGCTTCAGTTTCCAACTATTTTAGAAGTCATTAGAATAAACAAACACACAAAGTGTTGGGACCCAGCATTTAACCCTTAGAATGTATTAGTGATTCCCCACCCCCCCCGCCGTGTGCCTAGCTAACATCATATCATGTGTGAGCTTATAAAGGTTGAAGAAACAAGTTAACCATCCCGCCATTTGCTCAGGGCAACCCTGCTCGATGGTCCCAGGGAGAAGGACTACACCAGAAGACCTGTTGACAAGCGTAACCAGATCCATTTCATGGTAATCAAATTCTCCCAAGCTAGCAGCAGTCCTCCAACACCTCCAAGGCTCCAGAGGTCCCACTGATCCACTTCTTTGTTGCTGCTGCAGCTGACAGAAGTGCAGGCGTAGGTTACATCTGTTGGGCTCTGGCCAAACGTCCCAGCAGACAGAAAAAGAACCCAAATTTCTCATAAAAAATACCACACAGGAGGGGGGCTGACACCATGAGTAGCAGACTAAGCCTCCCACATGAGCACCAGTGAAGTTCCTGCTGCCTTACTTTTGATCCAGCTCCCTACTAACGTGATTGGGAAAGCAGTGGAAAATAGCCCAAGTGTTGGGACCCAGAATCCAATGTGGATACCATGGGAGAATAGGAAGAAGCTTCAGACATTTGGTTTCAGATCAGCCCAACTCTTGTCACTGT